GTTTTCTTGTGTGAGTGGTGTTCTTTTTCCTATTCAAAAGAAGACAGCAACTGTGCCCATACAGCCCAGCCACAACCATACTCTCTGCAACTCCACCCACTGGGCAGGAGCCAATACCAGCTCCTATACCACCCGATCAATGATAGACAGCAGCCAGCACCAACCAAACCCTCCCTAAACTGAGGTGCATGAATGACGACAGAGAACAGTATACATGCTTCCATTCTCTCACTACACCCACAGTTGGTGAGAGCTGAAGAACACATCAACATACAATCACCAATTAAATGCAAATATGACAGCATCATGTTGTTGTTATGTGCCATGGAGCCTGGTTCCAACTCATAGCTACGCTGTACAGGGTTTCCAAGGTTGTAAATCTTTACGGGAGCAGAAAGTCTCATCTTTCTCCCGTGGAACAGCTGGTAGTTTTGAACTGCTGACCTGGAGGTTTGCAGCCCGATTCATAACCACTACACTACCAGAGCTCCTTATGACAGCACCATAATATCTCAGAAATAACACAAAGAACCAAGGGAGAATGGCTCAAACAAATGACCAAGATGAAGAGCATATAATAGAGATATATGTATACTATACTGTTGTGTTCCACACTTCAAGATCAGCAGCCAGACGTGATACCTCTCCCGTGGCTCTGCGCATAGTGCCTGACACACAGCTAGCTAATGTATTCATTATGAGGGTTAGATATCAGTGGGTCTCACCCTGGGGACATTTTCCCCCTCAGGGAACATTGGCAATGTCTGGGGCCTTTTTTTTAGTTTTCACAACTCGGGAGGGTAGGGCTGCTATTGACCCTCTAGGCCTGGAGTCTTGGTGTGGTTAATACAACAGACTAAAAAGTTGTTTGAGCTGCAAGGTTGGTGGATCAAGCTCACTAGCTGCTCCTTGAAAACCCTATACAGGGTTGCTATGGGTGAGAACCAACTCGATGACACTGCACAACAATGTACCCTCTAACCTTAATTTGTGGAATGCTTCTTTGAAAACTCAAAATGGCAGAAATTGTCTAGAACCTCAACAATCACATTTTTAATCCCTAGACACATAGAATAACTACATTTCCCAGCATCCTTTGTAATTTAAGTTGGGGGTCATGAGATCAGGTTCTGGCCTATGGAAGTGGTTGGAGGTGAAGTATGCTATTTCAGTCTGTACTTAGAACCTCCTGCATGACATCCACATGCTTTCTCTGTTTCTATATAGCTGGAAGCAAATAGCTCTGACATAGTAGTCATACAAGGAAAGAAGACTTATATACTTATTTGGAGGAAAATTGTTTGTTATGAACTACTGAAATGTAGCTTGCACCTATAACATAATCTTAGCCTGGTTTCATAACAGTAGTACTTCTGACATTTCACCCAGGGTAATTCTTTGTTCTGAGAAGCTGTCCTGTTCATTGTAGGATGCTTAGCAGCTCCAAGGCTTCTACCCACTAGATGTCAGTAGCAGCCCTCCCCTCCCCAGTTGTGTAAACTAAAAAAAGGCCCCAGACATTGCCAATGTTCCCTGAGGGGAAAAATGCCCCCAGGGTGAGACCCACTGATATCCAACCCTCATAATGAATACATTAGCTAGCTGTGTGTCAGGCACTAAAGCCACGAGAGAGGTATCACGTCTGGCTGCTGATCTTGAAGTGTGGAACACAAAACAGTACACAGTATACATACACCTCTATTATATGACTGCTTCACTGCAACATTGAGTGTTAAATGGGAAAACAAACAAATGTGCAACAAGATTAAACAGATTTTAGTACATTCAAGCAATGAACTATTTATCCATTAGATGATATGGATACATTTACTGACATGAAAGGACATTTTAAATTTTATCTTTTTTTTTTAAAGGAGCAAAACTGTTATGAACTTTTTTTTCAAAGGAAAAAATTTCATTTATACAGGATTGTTGTTGTTGCTAAGTGCCATTGATTTGGTTCTGATTCATAGTGCCCCTGTACAGGGTTTCCTAGGAGCAGATGATGGGTTAGAACTGCCAATCTTATGGTTCAAACTGACATTGCAGTCCAGTGCATTATCCTACTACACAGCAGGATTGGGTACCGAATTTAGGGTCAGTTACATGTTTTGTTCACTTGTATTTTCTAGTCATTCTACAATGAATAGCTAGCTACATTGATGGCAACTGCTATCTATGGGTAAGAATTTGGCTATATGTTTTCCAGAAAGCAGCAGCATTCTTTGAGTTTAGTTTCTCCTGTGATTACACTGTAGCCCCCAAATCAAGGTTGTTAGTTGTTAAGTGGCATGGAGTCAGTTCCTACTCCTAGCGATCCTGGCACAGGGTTTTCTAAGGATCACTCGTGAGTTTGAGTGGCCGATCATGTGGTTCAAACCAATCTTGCAGTCCAATGCTTATACTATAGCGCTACACCAGGACTCCTGTAGACTAAAGTTTCACTAACCTTAAAGGCTGCATGACTTGGTAAACTGAATAGACCAACATTCTTATATACAATCTTTAGATGAGTTTTTAAAAAGGCATTTGTAAATAATTATATTAAATAAATAAAACTGACTTATTTCTATTAGCAAATACAATTTGAGTAAAATAGTCCCAACTTTCTTTTTCTAATTTCATATTTAACTTTTTTTCCTTACCTTTAGCTATCCTATTTTGCAAAAGAGAAAATGAGAAATGTATTACCATATTTATCAAATTAGTATAATCATTAAGCAGGCTGCATATTTTCTGAAGGTTTATGATCAACAAAATGATGACATTTAGAAGTTAGTTGTGAAAAATCTAAAAATACTAATGCACAGAGTATTATATTTGGCAGCAGTACATGCATCAAAGTTGCAGAAAAGAATGCAAACGCTTTGATGAACTAATAGTGCAATTAACCTAAAGTGGGTTATTTTCTAAGAACCACAAAAATCAATAAAAATGATCTATTTATCCATGATTAAAACGCAGCAGTCTCAACACGTTATTGTTTTGTATTACTGCATATGGGCATTATATATTATAGAAATGAACTTTATGAAAACTTTTTTCAACTTTTATGGCAAATTAAAAAAAAAGATTTGCTATTTGTAATGGGTTATTCTTTGGATTCCATCTAAAGATACTGACTGGCCAAGTGGTAATGGACATCCTCTTTGCCTGATACCAACTCTGGTCTTTACTGATGCTGGGGTGACTGTATGACTGACACATGTGCCCACATATTTCACATGGGAGATTTTACAACTTCCAACAGGTTGATGAGATGCTTAAATAGCAAATTACTTAGTCCCATAAGATATGGGCCTTACTGAATTTCAGGAGTCCCAGTAGGGTAAACTGATCCTGCTGAGTGTTACACGTGGATTTAGATCTGGTTAAGGCATGCTTTCAGACTTCTAATATAAAGCTAATACTTAGTTTGTGTTTAACTGGGGGAGGGGCAGAGGGAGGCTAAATGTCCCTTACACAGGCCAATAAAAAGGCAAGTTTTCATTTTGTATTTGGAATTAAATTTCTAACACTGACATCTTCTTTAAGAAAGAACAGCAAGCAAAAGGTTTCCAAATCAAAGGAACTCTTATGTTGAAGACATCAATAAAAAGGCAGCATTGGAAAAGGCTGAATGTTTGCCATTTATTTTCTGTTCATATTAAAATTGTGTACCACACACAAAGAATTTAAAGACAATCAAAGCTATATTTATTGACTTGAATTAGAAGTCAGTATACATTAGTCTGATAAATGAACCAATCAACATCAACTTTTCCTTTTTTTTTTTTAAATCACACCAAAAAAATGACAGTAAAAAAGCCAATTTTAATTGTTTCAAAAATGAATTAATCTGCTACATTAGGACACCACAGAGCAATTTTATTTATTTACCCAATTTCACAAACATTTACTTGACGATGGTTTACCCAGCAGGTAACAGCAACACAGGGGTATGACATAAAATAGGGGGAGTAATTTGTAGACCCAATTCACATTTTCTTTGCAAGCTGATTTTCAAAAAAGGACTAGTAATTATCTGCTTACTTACCAAAGAATTTCTGGTTTATAGTTCGTTGAGATTGGAATAAAGTTATGTAAGCCTACATTTATCATGATATGATTTCTTCTATTTTTTATTGTCAAGGTAAACTTTGTGAAGGCAAATCTAGCCATTAATGTTATGTTTTGTGATTGTGGGAGAGGAGAGAAGAGGTGTAAAAACATGAAGAATTTAAATAACCATTACCAGATATTAAGCTGGCAGTTGAAGCTATTACGGGAGTGCGGTTTGTGTTCCAGAATTACTTCTCAAGTGGACAACTAAATCACAATAGACAAATCTTACACAGCATTCAGAGATGTCAGAATACAAATACAAAAAAAGCCCGTATCACTACGTTGTAATGCACTTTGAAATTTAATCGGGAATTTCGAATAAAGGCGAATCTGTTTTACTCTGAGTAATCAAATGTCCTCTGCAAAGAGTAAAAATTTGAGCAGAGTATCAGAAAGAAGCCAGGAGACTGCAGTAAGGGGCAGGTAGGTGGTGAAGTGCGCCCGGGGCTAAGGGGGAAGACGGGAGCTAAAAGGGACTATTGGCGGGAAAAACTCAGGGAAACAAAATTATTCTTTTGCAATTCTCTGTTTTCCAATGTTCTGACAAAAATCTGGAAATTTTCCAATCACCTACTTCTTACGTTAAAAAGAAACCATGACAATAACAAAAAAGTTAATGAAGTTGTCATCACTCTCATTGGAAGAACCGGATCAAAAGTGCCCACCAGTTGGTAGTAGGTGTGCACAGGAAAAGGGCTGGTTAACCCAGTCCTGACACATTTGCCAAGCAAACCGCAGGCGGCGTCGCCAACTCTTGGTCTCCCTGGAGCAGCACTCCACTCACTTCCTGTAGGAAAGACGGACGCCGGTGCTCCCTGTGCCCTTCTCTCTCGTGTTTTGTCTCAGGGTCACGAAACGGCCTCTTAACTCAGGAATTAGGAAAAACACGGGTTCTAATGCCGGTTTTAATCCCGAAAACAGGCACCTCCGTTAGTCCAAAGAGTTCTGTGGCGTTACCTCTGTCTGATAGGGCTCAAGGTCATCGATGGCAGTCAGTGATAGCCTCTGCCACAGGACCGCCTGAGCCCTGGGGGCCGAAATTCAATTTCATTCCGCCAAATCGCCTGACAGCAGTAGCCACCAAAGGAGGCCCAGCGAAAGCCGCCGCCGGCCCGGACGCCCGAGAAGGCGGGCTGTCCCCGCCCCTTCCGCCCCGCGCACGCGCTGTCCCCACTGAGCGGCGGCGTGTGTTGATGGGAGGGGTTTCCCCGCTCCCTACTTTCCCCTGGACCTACTCACTTATCCTACCAAGGGGTGTTGGGTTCACCTCAGTCCCAGGCAAACCCCTTCTTAGAAGGAAAGAAAGCCCCAGACACCTTAACTCAAAAGCATAATATGCTATGGAAGTATTTCTGTGGGTACAGACCGGAGAGGAGGTGCCGGACGGCTCTGGCTGCCAGATTCCCTCTTCCTCGCTTCCCCGGGTGTGCGAAGAAGAATGGTGTGTCCCTCAGGGCGCGCGCGGCTCCCGCGCTTTGGTCGTTCCGAGGGGGCGGGGGGAAGGAGGCGGAGGGAGGGAGGGGGACCGGACCCCAATTCGTAAAGACTCAGCCAGGACCGG